CTAGTTCGGAATAAAAAAGAACTTTCCATCGTAGGCCAAAAGTGAACTTTCTTTGGTAGACAACAGTTCGTTGCCACCGTAAAAGAAAGTAGAAATTCACAGAAAAAGGCCACAGACAAATATCAGTAAAAGTCCCAATAATGTTACTAATTGCCCTAGTAGCTTAGTGGTCAGAGCACTTGACATGAATTCAAGGGAGCCGTGGTTCGATTCCCGGCTGGGTAACAATTTTTGGCATTATACGGGATTTCGTATTTGATTATTAAACAAAAAACGTAGTTCAAGGTCTGAAACTGGATATAAACATTTTGCAATATGTAGAAATGTATGCATGAACATTTATTTGACAATTAAAAATTGAAAAACACAATTGTTAGCAATATTTTATCATTCTTTTATCCCGTTAAACATATAATGATTTTTGTAAATGGCCACAAATATAACACGAATGCATTTACAATCTTATTGCATATAAGGAGATATTAATAAGGCGAAGCAATTTACAGTAGCTTGTAGTAGTATCTGGGTGACAGGTGATGCAAATCTGGGGGTGCTAAATTTTTCATGATGAATATCTCCACTATCCACCTATGGTTTGTTTTAACGAGAACCTTTTTGATGAATGGTGGCAGTGGTGATGCATGCACGCATCAATGCAGCACCACCACCACCATGCATCAAAAAAGGCTCCGGTTGACGAAAAAAATCCGTAGCATAGCTGTCTTACTCCTAATAATGTAACTCAATTCCATAAATAAGACCTTGACAGTAACGCATTACCGATTTTGTGCAAGTGTATGTAAGTCATGGCATCCAACGAAATAATATCATAGAAATTCAAGTTTTTTAGTGGAAATAAGATCCTGACATAATTTTATGCACATACAAACAAACAAAAGCATTATTACTTGAAATTAATAAATTTATTCAAGCGATATTTCGAGGGTTGCCAAGCTTGCCAACTCCATGCAGTTTTAGTATTAGTTAGTAAGCAATTTACTTACAGAATCAGCACCGTGTCACTATTCCTGTAATAGTATCGTAATTGTTAGATCCGCCACTCGATCTAGAAAGTTTAAAAAGTATTTCATGTCTATTCCATTTCTTAGAGTATCAAGTGAACTCAATACTTCCAAATTGATCGAATTCGGCAGTAGGGATGCAATGACTTTTCGCTGATACTTATCTCTCAAATTCATTTGCTTATTTCTTGCAATAAATTCCTTAGAAGCCTTTGCTCCAAGTGCAATGAACGAAAATGTCGCTGATTCCGTTAAACCTAATGTCAGAATTCCAACAAAACCAATTGCAATGACCAAAAACGAAATTTCCACGGAATTAACGAATTGGGTCAGTGTTACATAGAGTCCAAGCGTGCACCCAATTACACAGTAAAAGTGATGAAGACACGACGTAATAAAATCTTGCGCAATGTCTTCCTGTAGTTTCGTCATTATTCGTAGCCTCCGGTGTACTTTAATTCCAACATCGAACGACAACTCTGATTGACCGTCACCGTGTTTTACCGGTAGAATCAGTAATGTCCACAAGTATAATGCCACTTCGCCATACGCCGACATTAGCACAGGTATCGCCATCACGGATTTGGCTATCATTAAAGCAATAAATGTTTCAATACCAACATGGAGACGCGTAAAGGATCTGAACCAATATACCGTCCCCGATGTCACCGGTATACTCGTTCGTGGCATTACTATAGACAAGAAACGGGAAAGCCTAGATGGAGTAATCACTTGCTGAGCAATACGAGTGAGGGGATTGAAGGTAGATAGGCTAAACCAGAATACGATTGGGGGAAAAAGGTAATCCAATATTCTGTTCAATATCCACAAACTTTTCGTTATGTTTAGGTATTCCGTATTTATTCGTCTTCTTAGCATGGAGCAGGAGTGTTGTGGAATCATGTCTGCAAACAAATTATACTTTTAAGTAAGACATACATTTTAAAAATTGAATCATATTCTTGAAGCGTTGTGTAACTATTTTGCTTGCATACAAAATAAATAAATAAAACAATCAAGTCTTATTTGCCTCCCATGTCAGCGCCGTAATTAACCCTAATCTATGCAGAACTCGTAATTCCAAACATAAACATTACCCTGTAAGTGTCACTCCAAAAATAGCATGGCATCGTCCACCCTAACAAATTGGCGTGGGCCGGAAGGTTTAGCAAAGAATTGAAATACTGGAATACACAATGCCATCAAGAAAATTGAAATAACAGCAATGCACGCATCAACTGGATCCACCACTTCCTTCTCAGTGAAAACCAGTAAGAAGATGTTGAGCACAAATATTTGAGGTCCAAAGAAAATTAAGCACCACGTTGATAACTGATACAATAAGTAATGAATCCCTTGTTTCAGAGGAATAGCGCGATTCTTTTTGCTATCCCAATCCAAGAAATATAAAACCCACAGAGAGCTCCGTTGCAAAGAGATTACTCTCTGCTTTAGAAGCTCAAGGGCTTGCCGATGCCACATCTTTGTATTTTTAGTAACTATGATCAAACTAAGACGAACAATTTGCAAATAAGTTTTTTCACAAATCTAATATTTTGTAAATTTGGTAATTTTTACTCGGGCGAGAATTATTTTGAGAGTTGATTTTAAGCCCGTACGTCCGAAAATTTGAAATTGATAATGATTCTAACCGGTACGTGTAGACAAGCGCTTGTTTCGGCCTTTGAGCCTCGTCAGTACACGAAATTATTGTGAACAGTCTACAAAAAATTTTCTACCGGAATTTCAAAAATTGACAAATTGATTGTCGAAGTATAATATACTTACTATTTCTTGGGTTTTCTCTACTTCCATCGACAATCAATTTGTCAGTTTTTGAAATTCTGGTAGAAAATTTTTTGTAGACTGTTCACAATAATTTCGTGCACTGACTTGGCTGAAACGCTGAATTAAGCGCTTGTTTACACGTACCGGGTAGGAGTAATATACAATTTCAAGCTTTCGTATGTTCTTAAAATCAACCTTCAAATCTTATATTGTTACTGTTAATAGAATACCTTAACAATACTTTTACTCTACCTCAATTAGAATTTTGTCTAACTTATCGTTATATTGAATCAGTTTGATTTACGATATTGGTTAGAAATACATATATATGCGTTGGGCAATTAAGAATTTACGTAATTAAATTTCACAACCCAAATACGCACATCAATGTTCGAAGAAGTCCAACTCCTTAATACTCATGTATGTCAAGATTTACATACTGACTAACCTAACCTTCCCAATTTTAAGTATCAACTTGTATCTTCGCATGCCATGAGCCTTCCTAAATTTGTTTAACAATAAATAATATTTCCTTGCTTAGTTTTCGTGGAGGGAGATTAAATAAATATAGAAGGCGGTATGATTGCTTCTATCCATATTTAATCCTGAAGCAAATTAAAGCTAAAGCAGCGACATACTTGATATAAAAGATTAACATAGTATAAAACAATTCATCATTGATTTTTGTTGTGTCCACCCTACATATAAAATCTGTCATATTTTATTTAAACCTTTTCATGAAATTAGCAAAGCTAATTCATTATGTTAGTTTAGAATCTATGACATATTTATGTACCTCCAACAGTTTCTTTAAGTAAGAAGTCGAATTACTTTCGCCGAATAGCTTAACTTTAAAATGTACACATCTTCAATTAAAATTAGGGGATTCATTTAGATAATCAAATGCCAGGTTAGGTATATGTTCCATCATTTTTGATATCGAGTTGAATAAATAAAATACACATAGAAATAAAATAAAAATATCAAATATCAAAATAAAATCTCAAGTACAACTGCTCTTGACCAATGGTGATTTATGTACCTACAATTAAAATTGGTCATTGTCCTGAGACATTTAAACCACCCTGTATTCGTCACTCAAGTTGGTAAAAGGTTAATGCTATTAGGTTGGAAGATTAAGTACGATTCTTATTCATCGGACGTAATTCTAGACTTCTTGTTAAGCGTAGGGTACATTCACCGCTAGATATTACCGCTAGATAGAGTATAAGTAAATACATGCTTGCACTTAGACTTTACTGGTCTTTTTAGAATTTTTTTTCTGTAGTTCGGTCTTTTTAAAATTAATCATCGACTGCACTTCGGTCTTTTTAAAATTAACTATCGACTGCACTTCGGTCTTTATAGAATTAGTACGACGATATCCTATTACTTAATTCAACTCCGACGAATTTGTGTCGGCATGAACTCCTCCGTCATCTGACCACTTACAGCGACGTATGATAGCGCATTCGAAAGCTTAGTCAAAGACGGTGAGAGCGGTCATAGTTTGAATAAAGTCACGCCACTCGAGGTCGAAGTTCAACGGTCACAGGTCACCAAAATTTTAACTGATAACCCCCAACAAATGGATATTATACTATGCTAATTATTTAAATCAGTCACGGTTGCGGGGTGTGAAGCTCTGATTGTAATTAATTAGTTACGGAACTGCAAAGTAATGTGGATGAATGGGTTCACTTTCTTCGCCAAAATTTTTCAAATTATTTGTCCACTGTATTTGCACAGCGGAGGGTTATCAGTTGATGCCAGCGGGCCTCTGACAATGGAACATCTCCACAAGTTACACCGGGATTTGTTAGCGAGTTATATAAAAAATCAAAGTCAAAAATTAGTAGTCACATGTCACTTATCTTTCCGTTGGCTTTGGAGGAAAATATTGGTGGCAAAGTTCACACAACCGCCTTGGTTTTCGCCTCGTGGAGGAAAAGAGGGAAAATTTCGTAAAAATTGAACTTTTGCAATTTCATGTGACTACTAATTTTTACTCGATTTTTTAATATATTTAACTCGCTAGACAATTCCGGCGTAGCTTGAGAAAAGGTTCCATTATGAGATTTGTTTTATGGACCATTTGAAATGCTTGGCATGTCTGCCAGTCGAAGACTGGCTTCTCTGCTAGTTTATTTATAAATTATAATTATTCACAAAATTAAAAATTTACAAATGTTCGTACTTAAAAAATTGGTGATATTTTAATTTTCCTAAATTTCTCTATATATTCGTGCAACATTAGCATGTTACAAATTTATCAAAATTTTGTCAAATGTGCACAAATTTTGGGCCATAGATAAAAATGTGATAAATTTTACAAGGTAAATAACTTGCTTGCTGTCACGTGGACGCGTTCGAAACGTGTGCTACACATAAATATATACAAGTTGGTTTAAACCTTGTCTCGCTACAATGGAGAATTTTTCAAAATGAGAAAAGTTCGTGCATTTTCATTTTTCTTACCAAAATTTTACATCTGAATCTCGCAATTTTAAGAATTTTGATATTATGTATATTTTTTCCATCAGTTTTGATATATGTACGAGTTGAACAATCAATAAAAATCTCAATTCCAATTCCTGTTGACTAATGGTGATTAATGTAGATACAAAAATATCCATTGTACCGAGACATTTAAATCATCCTGTACATAAGTATATTTGTCACACGAGTGGTTAAAATAGGTTGGAAGATTACCTAAATTTTTTTATTCATAGGCGGTAGTTCTAGATTTCTTATTAAGCATAGGGTACATACATTCACCGCTGGAACTTAATATGCAAATATATAGATATTTATGAAAAGTTGTAAAACCGTGGCTGAAAAATTTCAGTAGCGTACACCCTTAAAAATAATATTACCCTCTTGGAAATTTAACTATACTATACTAAATGCAGAGTAAACTTTGCTCTTTACTTATCAAGTTATGTAAATAATTTTACTCTGTATTAGCAAAGTTTGCTTAATTTACATAGAATTACGAGTGCATCTTTTTCAAAAGGGTTACATTATTTTTCAGAAGACGGTATCAATAATTTATAGCTTTAACAGCTCATTTCACACTTACATAATAAAAGTGCCTAAACCAATAAATAAGTAAAAAAAAAAATATATACATACTTTGTCATGGGCGTACTCACGACAAAATTCGGATATCTCAGAATTTCACCTTATTACTCATCAGGTTTAGTAAAATGGTGACATTTCGAAAAGCGTTTTGATGAATCACATTGCAAATGCGTATTACCAATGCGCTTGTGTGCAAAAATTAGCAAATAATTTCTTTGCAAAAAAATTTGTTGACAAATCTAATGAGAATTTTCACGTGTAAAAATTGGGCGACTTTTGTCCTTGTCGATTTTAGTATGCGAAGGGCAATAAATAAATAAACTTATAAATACACTCGAATGAATTACAAGAAAAGAAAATATAGATATTCGATCGTGCAAATCACGTGCAAAACAATTTATTCCCAAAACTCCAAGTTTCCCCCCAGCTGCGAAAACATTTCCCCCATGAAGTAGCCTATCATGATTAGCACAGCCATGAGCAAGATGGCCGCGAGAGCGGCCTTCCATCAGGACGGCTCCTTGATCTCTCTCCACTTGAGGAATCGTTCCAATGCACGCTCCCATTCGGCAAAACGGACCTGAATTCGCACCCCGTCCTCCACCCCGTGAAAGATACGCTCCACTCGGTAAAACTGGAGGAGGTCTTCTCTCGAACTCCAGAATCCTGTAAAAAATAAATTCCCGATTTGTCATCTTATTTAATAACAATTTAATATCCCTATGTTTGCAAATTTTCGGTAAAATGGTAAAAATACAACGTTCCGTTAATCATACACGTTAAAGGGTTAACCGGAAATTTTGCTTGGCATATTTCGTAAATGCTGTGGAAATGTTTCAAAATAATTTTTTTTCTGAATTTGTGTAAATTTTGTAACACAATTACTTAAATAGGTGTCCATATCTTGGAAGATTTTGCAAAATATTTACTTCTATAATCTATTGATTAGCTAGTGAGCTAAATATTTAACTGTTTCAACTTTGAAGTCGTTATTTTAAATTTGCAAAGAATTAGCTAATGTTATTCGTCCTACCACAATTCACACCGGCCATGAAGGCACACCCCAACGCGGTCATATCTCTGCAGACCGGACGAATTACTGGTTTTCCCGTCAAATCCGCGATAGTTTGGAGGACAAAGTCATTATTCGCAACTCCACCGTCCACCCTAGTGAACAAGAATATTTTTTAGCAAATGCCACATGAAAACTATTCTTGCCAAGTTTTTTTTTTACTTGATGTGATCAAATTCAATGTCGGACGCTTCTCTTTGTAAAATATTGAGCAACTGTGCCACCCGGAAGGCCAAACTTTCCAGCAGGGCCCTGGCCAAGTGGGCCTTCGTCGTGGTCGGGCTCATCCCGAAAAAACCGGATGTGGCCGTCATGTCGTTATAAGGCGCCTACAAATTCACACCGATGTTCTTAATGTCGCACATGTTTGGCAAAAAATTGTAATGAAAGAAATATTAACCTGAAGTCCGCTAAACGCCGGGATAAAATAAGTATCGTTCGTATCTTCGACCGATTCTGCAACTGTACTCGACTCCGCGACAGAATTGTACAAGCCTGGGGAAAAAATTTAAAAAAAATTACTTACGGGAAATTTAATGTGCTGTGCGCAAGATTTACGATTTGAAACAATTTAAATTTTTTAAATAAATTCACTAACCAATTGTTCTTCCCCACTCGACCAGATTTCCATTGTCTTTACTCTGTCCTTCTGCAATGTAGGCAATTTCCGCGCCATATTTCCACCCGACGAGGGGGTAAATTCCCCCCACGCCAGAGTGCGGCCGCGTTCCCGTGTTCACGTCGAGAAACGCGCCCGTTCCCAAGGTCACTTTCACGGCCCCCTTTCCCCATCCCCCCGACCCGAACATGGAGGCTGATTGGTCCGCAACGGAGGCCAAGATTGGCACTTCGAAACCCGGGAATATTCGACAACTTCCGAAATGCGGTCCTGTAAATTAATTGCATGCATCGCTATTTAATTTAGTTTTTAATTTTAGGCAAGATTGACTAATGTAACAATTTAATTTGTCAATATCCTAAAAAACTTTAGAAAATTTTAGAAATAAGTTAAACCCAATCAGAATCTTTTTAAAGTCAATTTAACTTATTGCCTATGTAGCTTTAAGAAAAGCGTGAAAATTTAAGTATTTTTTGTAAAATTCCCCAAAGAAAAATTTGAAAGTTTTAAAGTAACTTAAAACAAATCAGACATTTTATAAAAACCTTGAAGTTATTCTCTTATTTTAAATTATTTCTTTAATTTTAAGAAAAATTTGACTAATTTTAGGTATGATTTATCTACATTCTGAAATTTCTGGAACTTCTAGAAATTGTTGAGATAAATTAAAACGAATCATAATTTGTAAACGTCCTAAGCACAATTCTCGCAATTTTACAAATCTTTTAACAGCCTTCAAAAAAATTGTAAATTTTTTAAACTAATTTTCATCCTTCGAAAAGAGAAAACTTACCACAACTTGGAACCAACTTTGGCAGGATGGAGGACGGAATGCGATACATTTTTAGTGCCCATTCGGCATAGCTTAGAACGAAAGGGTCGAAAAATCCGGATACGCACGCGTTGCTAAAATCAGTCACGTGTTTCTCTCCGTCTGTTGAATTTTGAAAATTCCAATTAACACCAGATTTTGCACTAAAATTCATAATTTGTTATGCCAACTTACTCGTCAACTTGTGAATGATAAAAGTGTCCAGGGTTCCGAACTTGACTTGGTTAAGGGCAATTTTTTCGCGGATGCCGGGCACGTTTTCGAGCACCCAAAGCAACCTGATCACGACGAGTTCATTCATCACGCGCAACACGGAACCCGACAAGTAACACTTGTTTTTTGTAATTGAGTAAAGGAATTTACACAGCAGGCGGAATGACCTAAAAAATACAAAGTTATGAATCAAGGTAATGATTCGTTACCAATTCGGTAAAGAAGTATTTAAGCACCATAATCGTCTTAAATTTATATTTACTACATTTTTAACCATAATCAGAACCCTTTAAAAAATGATGCTGCCCTATCAAAAAGTACATACACTCGAATAAATTATGCTGAGTACAGCGTAAACTATACTCTTTCTCAGATTTAGCATACACACTTTACGCGATATTGACTTCATGGAGCATTTACTTTTCAAAAGGGCAGCATTATTTTTAAGAATGCATATTTATCAGGAGACTGACCTGATATAAAGGCACGTGTTCCACCGTCGCACCAATTCTGCTGCGCGGAGGTCTTTCCAACTGATAATTTTCGTGATGGGGGTGTTATTATTGGCATCCCAGAACAGGAAGGAGGATCTCTGCGTTGTTATCGACATGCATCTCAACTTTCCTGGCGAAATACCGGCGTCTGTGTTAATGAATAATTGTTATGATTAACTTTTGCATGCATTAATTTGGCACATTTAAAATGTGGGGGTGCAAATTTTGCCTAAAATTTTAAGTATATATACAAGATATCAATTTAAATATACTCTCCAATTCGTGATGGAATCAAAAATTTAAGCAAAAATGCGAATTTACTAGTAATATCTAAATATATTTCAAATCGTGAATTTTATCCAATATTAAGTAATGTGGCAAATTTGATCTCTACAAATCTTTTCAAAATTGCTGGGCCTTTTTTATAAATGTTTAGGTATGTTTATAAAAGTAAATCTTTACCCTGTATAGCACCACGCAACACGTAGACGACATTATACCACAGCGCGTCCGGATCCATTTCCACCCATCCCGGTTTCGGATATTCAATTCGGATCTAAACAATATCCAAAAAGTACGGTTTAAAATCATCTTTTGGCCAAAAAATCCCGGGTGAAAATCGTGTGTGGAATTTGACATAATTCGACACAACTGCCGGGACCAATGGTTTGTGCAGAAAACGTATGAACGATTCTGCATAAAACTTCTGACAGGTATATTCTGCAGCAAGGTTTTGCACAATTATGCATAATTCTACGCATTTTATGCACAAATTGTTTCGACATAAATTTTTCTGTATACAATCCAGCCAATTCTCTGCATAAAAACCAGCCAAATTAATGCATAAAATCCCTTAAATTTTTCACCTGGGATCACTTGGTGGATATTAATTACAGTCAACCAATATGTGTAGCACATACGAATAAATAGTGTGTAAGTTTATGATTCTTTGCAAACAAAGTGCTTTGTAGTGTAGTCGAAGAAACGTGGAAAAGGTGCATGAAATCAGACTTATTCTGATGTATAGGCTTATTCCAGAAGGGTTTAACGTGGAGAAATTTTTGCACCAATCCCTCAATGGTTTTCAATAGCTACTTAAAACATGCATATACAAACTCAAGAAGAACCTTGACTATGTAAACCTATAGGTATGTGCATACATATGTAGCGTAATTTCATACCAATTTGAAAACATTTTCATTCGTTTTATATTAGCTTTTGTTGTAAGTGTTAGAAATTATTGAAAACTTGCTGGAAAAATTTATCCATATGAAGTTCTTTTTGAATATATGTATACCAGCATAAAAATGGCAATTTTATACTACCAATCACACACTTCACATATGTACAATTCCCTCATTAATTACTACTTACCGGCGTCGCCTCCTGTCCCCTTACTCTCGCAGCCTTATCGAATATTAAACACTTCACCGTAGTCGTCCCCACATCGAGCGCCGCGATAAATTCCTCCTCCCCCATAACCGCGCCACACCCACTCATCCTCAATCCCCCTCCTCCACACTTCACACACGAAAACACCACCCCCCACCAATTCCCCTTAAAGCTCAACCTAAAACACTCCACTATCAATTCATCGCAAAGAATTTATTCCCCAATTTTTAATAAAATTCCTTAAAAAATGTGAGCCGTTTTGTTAAATAAATAAACAATTCTCACAACTCGGCCAGACTAGTCTCTGTCTCTCCCGAACTGAATATGTATATATTCCCGTGGATACCCGGGTATCCTACACAACCACTAAACTCAACACCTTCCGGGAAAGTATCGATCCGTTTAGAGTAAATTTGCAGAAGGAGAGAGACGAACACACCGCGTGTATGCACATAAACTACACTGCATGAAAAGTGGGGCACGTTATTGAGAAATAGAAATTCTCACGCAAGGCCTGACAGGAGCAGGTTAATTGAATGGGTGATCTAAAATTGCATGCGAACGAGCCACCATACCGACAGTCCTCAAACTAAACCACAACTAAACAGACTAAAATGACGATTTACTTCTTGTATGATGGCTCTCATGTTGGGGAAAAACAAGCAGATCGGAGTGGGGTCCATCCAACCACAATGTGTATCTAAGTTGGTTTATTGACCGTGGTCAGAAACATTAGTTAAGAATTACTTAAAAATTATTTCGAAAATATTTGTCATGAAGAAATAATGAGAATTTGAAGGTTATCGTAATTTGGTAACAAGTTTGGTAACATGCTACCTGTACCTGACGTTGAAACTGAGTCTCAACAACCTCACAGAATTTTATACATAAAATACATGCCTTGTATGTGTTGTATATAACATTCTAGTGATGGTGGTGATGAGTGATGACGTAATGTTTATGTTCTCAACCAAATCAAAACATCACGTGGCTTGCATTCTCGCTGAACAAAGAGCAATGGTACTCCCTCTGCTTATATTAATAAAACTCTATGTTCTCACGGCAATGATTTCCTCTCGTAAAGGGAGAGGGCCATACGTAAATGATGTCATCAATTTAACATGTGGTTCAAAACATCTTGTTATTTATGGAATTTTGCAAAGTTGGTCAAAATTAGTCCAAAAAATCCGGAACAAAATTAGGCACTAATGTGCCATAGCCTTTATGCACGGCCCCCTTAAACCAAACCACTGCTCACTTGATCGTGACGAAATGTACTTGCATGCATACAAAATAATAAAAACAACACTGTTGATTCGCGTATTGTGCGTATTTAACTTACAGCGTTTTAATTGAACAGTTGCTTCATCCACTTCCACTACTAAACGGCCGCAGACCAGTTCAATTCACTTTTATTTAATAGTGAGGGGTCGTTCGAACAGGATGGTATAAAAATTTAAATCAAAATCATAAACATCAAAATAAGTATGTAAGGCCAGAAATTTATGATGGAAATTTCCCAAGAAATCGGGAGGGTATTGATACATATGTATCATACTTTCTGCACGGCCCGCTGCGTGGCTATTTTATCATGAAGGCGATAATAAAGCATGATTAGAAAGCTCATCCTTCAGTCGAATTTTATTTATTCCACGGCTTTTACACAGTTACAAAACCATTGTGTCGCTACATTATCTGAACACGCTGCTCAAACACAATGGGCAGATGAGAAGAATCCTGTGAAATTCGGTACCAAACTTGTATTTATTTTTACATAAGCACATTTTGTGACTGTGCATGCAATATGGTTTTTGAGGTTAATTTAATCCTATGAAAATTAATATTTTGTCACGAAATAAGGTACAAAAAGCCAAAAATTAAGCTGCAATAATTCTGGTCTAGTTCAGCAGGTATTAAACTCCTGGGTATTAAACTTCTTACCGTTGGGTATTAAAATTTTACCGGTCCGTAAAAATTTGCGAGACAAAATGGTAAACTTTAATAACAATACATTACAAAACAGTGCCAGATTAGTAATCAGTGTACGAAAAATACGTCACATACGTCCTGCATGGCCTCTGCATTCGTATTGAGAACCAGTGGCCAGCACAATTGATTAATTTGTAATCGAAGAATTGACAAGGTTTGATGGATTAATGAAGCCCAGACAAACGTGTATGTAAACTACACTTTGGACTATGTATATATTGTCTCATATTGTCCTTCTTCACGTATTTATAACTTTGCAAGCCTTATAATTAAAGTATGACGAGATGTGAATATGATACTTTGATGTGTAAATGCACATATTTTGCATCACCGATGCACATATATACTTCGCCATTACACCATAATCACTAGTACGTCAATACGAAATTGATTACGAATAGATGCATCCCCTTCAAAACAGTCTTCAGGCTTCGTCGGAGTGGGTACTTAATTACCAACCAAATTTAGCAAACTAATCTTAGAGTCTCATAAATGACAGATAATTAATGTACAGTGTTGCATAAGTACTTCATTACGTTTGTAAAAACATGTATTTATTGTATTTAATAACTCAACTTCACACGCTTGTATGTATGTATTTGCAAATGCATTTAAAGAGTGGGTAAATCTTTATTATTCTTATATCTGTTTATGCATACAAATTAATGGATGGATTATTTAGTGTATCGCATCGTTTCAATAATTAGCAAATAAACCTGTACAAAATACAAAACATGGCAAAAAATCTTATCATTTTTTCATCATTCAAGTACAAAACAAAATGATGTTCGTTGCAATATTAAAAATCAGATAAATGAGAAAAAGATGCAAGTAAATTTTGGAAATCGTGCATACGAATGTGAACCTATTAAAATTAATTTCATAAATTTATAAAACATTTGTTTTATGAAATAAATGTTTGAAATAAGTATTACAGTAATAAATTATGGATAATCATTAAATCGTTAAGTAAATTATAACCTCCCATTATTAATACTTTGTGCAATTTTTTTAGTCTTTCCAATTCTTTTACTGGAAGTGGGCATGCGTCGAAAATGAGATTGCTGCATTTGTTCCCTGGTTGTCCTCATTTTCCAAGGAATCAGATCTCGCATTAACTTGAAGTAATCCTTGGACCACATCGTCGCTCTTTCCGGTGGGAGAATCTTCTCGAATCAAGGTCATAATTCCGGCAGGTCGAATACTTCGGAGACGATTCTGCTCCAAAAATCGGACCACTTTTTCATACAACAAGGACGGCTCAGTGATTCTTGGCACCTGGAAAATAAATAAAAAAATATGTACCGGGTGGTCTAGAAATGCTTTATTAGGAGAAATTCTTTCAGAAAAATTTTCTGAGATTTTTCTTTCCTAGAGTATAAAATAACTTCTAAAATGTTTTTCTAAAATTAAACAAATTTTGAAAAAATAGTTACATTTTTAGCACAGTTATACAATATTTTCGTGGCGTTTAGAAATTGTTATAAAACTTTAACATAACACGTTAAAATTATTTTCAGATCTAGATTAAATTTTATCGCTATTGGGGTTAAAGCTTTCCAAACTTCGTTTGGGATGCCCTTTTCCTGCAGCTTTTTTAAGTTTTAATTTTTTAACGATAAGGGAGACCTCAAATGTAGATATTTCGTGATCAAGTTCTTCAACTTCCTTTGGTATAATTTCGGTGCGGCAACTGTTGCTTTGGAATAGCTTAGAGTAGAAAGAATGCCAATTTGCTGCTTCAATTGGATAAATAGATGTAGAATTTTGTTTGAATACTCGAACAGCTGCCCAGAACGTTGAAGAGTTTTTGTGATCTAGCAAATTTTTAATCTGATCTTGCTTCACTGCCCTCTTTTTTTCCCGTTTCAGATTGGTGTATTCAGCGCGCAGTGATTTGTATTGTTCCTGATCATCCTGTTTGTTTGATTTCCTTGCAATTCGTAGCATTTTGCTTGCTGTGGATTTAGTTTGTTTGCATTCATCGTCAAACCACTTCGGTTTTCTGCGCAGGTCTGTGGAAGTTGGATTATTTGTGACATTCCGAGAAGGTCTAGGCTATTCTTTACATTTAAAAAAATGTCACTGTTCTCACTGCACTTTTCATTTAATGTCTTCCTGAATTCCACCAACTTTTCTGGGTTCCATTTTGTTTTATTAATAACGGTGGTTTGTATCCCTTCGTTAGATGGCGGTGATGATTGGATTTGGGCAGAAAGGTTGATATTAATTGGTTGATGGGTTGACACAATATATTGTTTGACACAGAAATGATTAACATTGACAAGTGTTGCGTCGGAAGATATGCAGAGATCAATCAAGCTACGGCCATTCACGTTTTGAAAAGTAATGCCACCGTCCAAGTCTCCCTTCCAGAATCCGTTAAGAACAACCATGTTTGCAGATCTTACAGCCGTCATTAACTGTTTCCCACGGTCGTTCATGTGTAGATCTTGTGATTTTCTGGGGTAATATTCTCCTTCAATGAGATTGGGAAGTAGACCGATTCGCGCATTAAGGTCGCCGATTATTAACGTATGCTCGGTAGTGTGTAAAATTGTCTCTATAAGGTCGTTGAATTCAGTTTCTCCATCAAAATTAGGTGCGAGATAAGATCCGATAATTCTGAGTGCTTCATTTTGTATTACATTTTCTACAGTAACTTCAATCCAGCCGCGTCGTTTAGTAATTACAGCATGTTGTAGTTTATTCTGAATTCCAATAACTATTCCTCCTTTACTTCTTCCCCTCTTCGAGTTTTCCGCGTCTTGACACACTAGGGTGTGCGTAATGTTAAAGTTCGAGAGCTTAGCACATGCTTCCTTTTCGGTGCACCAAGTCTCGAGAAAAATAAAAATATCCGGGGCTTCCTTCGTCATATATTCAAAAAAATCATGATCCTTATTGATTAGTCCGTCGATATTCCACGCAGTAATGTTCATTGTCAAGAGATTTTGTTGGCGTAGATGTGCGAAAGGCGGGCTGTGTTCTCATTGGTGTTGAATGGGTTGGGTTTTGTTGTTGACACTTTTGCGTTTTTCAACAATTCCCGTCGCTTTGTTGTAATCGTACCAATCCTTACCATCCACCAGCAGAGATTTCGCGTACACCTTTACAGTTGATGCCACTCGATTGTCAAGTAGTTCCCGTCGTTGCCGCAGAAGTACATTTTTGGTTTCTCGTTGTGACGGCGAGAGATCGTTTTCGATTGAGATTCCAAGGGTTCGAAGTTTCAAGGCATTAGTAAACAGATAGTTTTTATCGTTTGAAGAGCTGAATTTTACCAGTATCTTGTTGCTTTTTCCAAGTTTTCGAAGATCAGTAATGTTGGGAGTAGCGGCGCCTAAGTTGTTGTAGATTTTGTTCAGTTGATCCTTAGCGTCTTGTGGACCTTTGGCCTCAATTCCTTTAAAGATAAGATGATGAGCGTTGACTTGATTGTAAAGGTCGTCCACTATTTTTTCTAAAGAGTCAATCTTAGTGTTTTGGTGTTGAATTATTTTCGCTTGAGCTGAGACTTGGGAGTTGAGAACCAAAATCTGTTTGCCCCAATCCTTTGTTCGCGCCTTGACCTCGGCCACGTCGGTTTTTATATCTTTGATATCTTTCGCGAGGGCAAGGAGGAGATCTCTGTTTGAGGGTTGTTCGATGTCGTCTTTTTCTTCAAAGTCTTCCTTCGGCCGTTTCGAACCTCGCCCTTTTGGAGTCGAGAATGAGGTATGAAGTAGTTTCGATCCTTTCGATGGACTCTTCATCTCATCGTCAGTCATGTTGTGCGAATGAAGGTAAAGGGATTCCGTTCCCTTTCCGTTTCCTTGGGGCGAAGGTTCTGACTGCTGTGACTGGCAATGGCAACGGATTCCGTTCCCTTTCCGTTCCCTCCGTTGAGTCGGAAAATTTTTCTCGCGGTGGAAAATTTTTCTCGCGGTGGTTAACGGGTTGGCTGGCGGATTTGTTGATGACTAGGCCCCACGATATATTCGATACGAAAATCCAAATTTGAACAAGTGCACTTTTTACTAAGGTCGACTGGGAACTTCTGCTTACTTCAACACCTCGATCCGGACTCTCAAGATCATCCACTTATGGATTGGGCTGCCCCGTCAAAGGCGCGCTAGGCGGGAACACAGCGAAATTAAATTTCGAAAAAATTATTTTTGAGTAGACCAAGTTATAAGCTTTCCATTGATATATGTCACCAATTATTGAGTCATGGCTAAGACTAGAATAACTTGGGTTGAAAGGCAAAAGTTGAAAAAAAGTGTGATTGAGTTTCACAAAAATCAAGCAAACTATGTTTCTAAAATCACTTGGCAATTT